GAGACGTTCCGGCTCGCCGAGCCGATCGAACCTATCCAGATGTTTAATTAAAATGATTTTAATTGCGAAAATGGAGTCGAGCGACTCGCCGGATTCCGAGGCCCTTTGTAACTTCATCCCTTGATGGGACTGCGGACGGGGGAGGGAGCGGCCCGGGCTGAAAGCGTTCGATTCCGTGACCGGCGAGACGCAGTCGTCCCGTAACAAGACGCTCTCGGCTCGCTGCTCGTTTTGCCGGCCGCTCGGCGTTTTAAAGTCGGCGCTCTTTAACGTCCGCGCTACCGGAAAATCTTTCTTGCTCGCCTCCTGCCCGCCCTGGACCGCGGGAAACTCGGGTAGTCCTTGGCCTGAGTAACTGGTCCTTCAGCGGGCTTAATGGGGTTAATGGGGTACGGTAATTCCTGGTCGTATGGGAGAGTGCAGGGAGTGTTGTGTGCTTCGGGGGAAGAGTGTGCGGAAGAGTTGGGAGGCGTGTGAGTGATAGGGGAGGAATGTGTGAGGATAAGATTGGAGTAGGCGACGGAAAAGTGGGGAATGAAGGTGTAAGTAGAATGGAATAGAAAAGAATGAGAGTATATGAGTAGAATAATGAATGTTCGAGTAGAAGTGTGGAAGATCTGAATGGAAAGTGAAAAGAATGTGAGTAGATAGTGCAAGGAATTTGAATAAAGACTGGAAACATAGTACGAAAGAGTCATCAAATATGAGTAAAACCTGAGTATACGAGTGAAAAGTAAAGAATACTATATATACCTACCAAATTTCACCGGAAAATGTCTCACACCTTGAAAAACCATTGCAAACAAAACCCTCAATTTCCGTAATCACCGAATTCCCACTATCGAAGACCCTCCACCCCAAAAAACAGAAGCAAACTCCAACACCACGGACAGATCTCCGAACCATTCACCTTTGAAGCTTATACACATTGGAACTTTCCCTGGAAGCAGCTTTCCCTCAAAGACGCAAAGGAAAAAAGAGCCCAAGATCGACTCGGTGGATTCCAGCATCCCATCCGATCTTCGTCTCAAACCGACTCCGAGCGTAGTTGGAGCGTGTACCGCGGGTTTGAGGGTTGGCAGGGGATGATCTTCCGAAAAGTCAGATTAATTTTCAAGCCCCGAGCGAAAGGGAACCACCGCGGCGGAGATTCCGGGCGGCAGTGGTGCGCGAATCGTTAGCGAAAGAACGGTCGGTTCGCGCGGCGAGGTTTTCGGGAGACGCCCGGGAGCCTCCTCTATCTTTTCCTTTTTTCTTGCCCCTCGTCTTCCCTCGCTCACCCTCCCCAAACGCGGCGAGCTGTGCTCGGCGTCGCGTGAACTCGCGCGCGGACGCGTCCGTCCGCGTTTTTCCCGCGGCCCGAGCAACTGGAGCGTTAAAACGATCGACAGTTCCCGTTTTGTTGGCTGAGTGACACGCTGAAACGTAATATCTCTTGTACAGGCTGTTTCATTCGGTGTGTTCATTGGGAATCGAGCGGTGACGTTGACACGGATGCGTGAAACGTTTCATTTCGTTCGGTTGACGGGCAAATGGAGGTGAACGTTGACGGTGTCGGCGCGGATAGTGTCTTTTATTTGATTTAAACGCGCGCAGAGTGTTCCGTCGATTTTTATCCTTCGTGGAAATAGTTTGTCATATTTGTTTCATTGGAGTATAACGCGAACGCGCGAGGTTCATCGGACAGAGTTGATTTATACAAATCGAGGAAGATAAAAGAGAATCCGCGTGATTAAAATTGTAGACGCTGAACGTTGTTAGAGGATATAATCTTTCTCTCCGAGAAATAGGCGAATCGATTAGAAAAATGAATATTATACAGGGAAATATCCAGCGTAGACCGCTGAAGCAAGGCGAGCGACGTAATTCTATCGCGGCGTTCTTTATCCCAGCACTTTATTGCCCACGCAATTTGCGAAATTGTCGCGCGGCGAGGTATCGTCGTGAAATTGGGATTACACGGAACGAAACTGTTGACAAGCTTCTGATGAAATATCGTTGTAATGAAATACGAGCCCCCGCCTCGCCCGCCTTCCGCATCGAAACGGGAACGAATCCTATTAAGAGGGTGGGCTTTAATGAACGCAAATTAACATGGAACATAATCAAATTACGTATGAAAATTCGCCGCCGAGTATCATCCGCGGGCCGGTTAAAATCTCGTTTCGCATATTGCCCGGGCGTTTAGAGCACGGTCTTCACGATCCGCGACGAATTAAACGGAAAGAGACAATAGGAATTCCTTCGGGCGGACCTGAATATCCGGCGCGTACAGTTGGACGGGCTTCGCCGTTTTGTTTCGTCGCGCCCGTCGCGCTTGTTGCGGAATCGTTCCAATTAAAAATATATCCTTCGTTGGTCCGACTTCGAGGAACGACGTTCTACTTTAAGCCGTCCCCCGTTTGCAGGTACCTAAATAATTACTTCGTTTTAAGACACGTTTTCACATTGGTCGGACGTTTAAAAATAAATCCGTGGAACTCGGTTCTTGGAGACTCGGCCTCCATCGTGACGGACGTGCGTTTTACCCTTGGAAGTTCTTATTTCGTGTATAATATCGATCTTTTGCATATCAAATAACGGCCAATGTTTCTATCACATATTTCATATCCCAAAGAATCATAAATGTTACGTATTGCGTGCGAACGAAGCATTATTTCACCCGAAAGCCTGACTGATACCCGCAACCGTCGGCCATCTTGTCGATGATTATACTCGACTAGGTGGCGCCACAATGAGCAAACGCTTCGCTCCAACGCGACCGCTGTAATTATGTAATAAATTCAATTTCTGCGTTACTCCGATAATTGGACGTGCACAAAGGCGTCTCGTTTATTAACGAATAAATAAGTAAAATCCACACGTCGCCTTTGAAAGTTCATAATACAATTTCGCGGTGGTAAACGGTGATTGATATCCTCATTCCCCGATGTGGAACAATTATCAACGACACGAATAATCACCGGACAACGGTTATCAAAATCCAATGGTTCCCGTTGCGTCGTTGCATCGAATAATTAAGCGCAATAACGTTCGATTAATCCGTAAGAATCGATCAACGTCAACTGTCGCTCGCCTCTTCGGCGGCCGTATCGCAACATGTTATAGACGCCCCGTTGAATGGCCACTTTATTCCAACACGATACCGCTATAATTACATAATGGAGCCGTTTCCGCGTTGCGGTGTTAATTATAAGCATCGGCGCGGGGCGTTTCTGCCCGACTGTCGGATAAATAATAGTAATAAATAATAGCAATAAATCGTCCTTGAAAGTCCAGAATACGAGTTCCCGAGGTTGGTAGTCGGCCAAGAGCCGGGGCGGCGGGCGAAGAAAAATCCGTTTAATCGGTCTCCTCTGGATTTATCGCGGATCCGCGCGATTGGCGCGATCCCCCGGCTTATTTTCGGGCGGGCGCGATCCGCTGGCGCGGACTCCGTGCCAATTTGTAATTAATTACGAAACAATCGCGCGTACGACGCCACGCGACCCTATTTAAAGATCGTGACGCCGGGATCGCTGGACGCGCCAGGATTTGGATGGCTAACCGGGATTGCTTTATTATTTCCTGTGCATTTCATCTTCAACGCTGGATCCGCGGACAGTCGCTGTACACTGTATCCAATCGTTCGCAGAGAAATTGATATTCGTCCCTATAGATCTTGAAAATTATAGCTTCAAAAGCAGACCAGTCGGATTTATATCTGTATACATCAAAATCCCAAATATTTACCAAATAGTGTTTATAATCGTCAATACGAATCAAACTTTCTCTCCCCCTAAATCTACGTAGTTTCAACAAATAGTAACACTGTTTGCGTCACTCTTACTCTTAACTCTTCTACCATCGTGACAAAATAAATCCTCCAAAGGATTATCAAGACTCAACGAGTGTATACAACGACGATCTCTCGGAAATCTCCGTTTCACGCGCGATCCCCATTGTCAAACGCTGCGATTAATAGAACAATTAATCTTCTTATCGCGATTATAGCTCGAGGACAATGCTCCCGACATTTTCCCTCCGCGCAATCGGCACCGTGCCCTCTCTCTCTGTATTCCCCCGGCGCGTACCAGATGTCCCTCTTCCGCTTTCGGCTTACGTAAACGAGCGAAACGCGCGGACTCGTCCGCGATGCTCGCGATTTATTATCTCGCGCGCGCTGCACCTGTTGTTCCCGCTGGAGACGCGACGAATGTGCACGTCAGCCGGCCGCGGCGTTCCGCGTACGCCGATTATATATCGCGCGATAAATTTATTTGTTTATTAATACACGCCGGGTGACGGCCGCGCAAAGCGGCGATAAGCGGGCGCGCGAGTGGCGCCGGGCATTGACGGGTTTAAACGGCGGGAAACGATTGTGTCGTTTTCTTCGTCGCTCGTTTTAGAACGCACACCGGCCCGCCTCGCTTGTTTTATCGTCACCGTAACTCGGACTCGCAGATTTGTTCGCCGTGAGTTATGCCGCGCAGACGTTCGCGCGAAATCGGAATTTCTTGAAGCGGCTCGAGCAGGTGAAGCGGAATTCCATTCTTCGGCTAGGAATCTTGATTGGCTGGAAATTAGGCGACTCGGGTTATTCGGTTATTCAATGGTTTATAACTCAATTCGTGTACTTCTGTCTACGACGGAATTATTGTATATCAATCGCTTGGAAGCTACTTTAGTCAATTTAAACTATTTCACTGAAACTGAAACAAATCTACCGTTGCTGGGAACCTGGCACTTTCGACTTCATAGGGGCGGAGACAGTCATTCGAGAACTCCAATCGCGAGTCTAGAACCGCCTCTCCCACTCCGTCGCGCGAGCGCCTCAGCCAATCATACACCAGAACCGAACATTCACGCGAAGAAGGCGTGCGTCTTCGCATCTGACCACTCAGACGAAAGTGCCAGGTTCCCTGCAACGCATAGTACCTCTCGGAAACCTATATCCTACCTTCAACCATACGTTCCTCAATGATTCCTCCAAAACGACGTTACTTATAAGCCAATGAAAACCAGAATTCGATGATCTACTTCTCTACCTCTCATTGACAGCATTCCTACGAACTGTTTTTCTCGTTTCACCGTTCGAATCGCCAGTTCCGCGTTCTCCGGCTACAACTTGTCGCTTTTACGAGCGACCGCGTCTTCCCTCTGCGTACGGGAAACAATAAAACGGGGACAAATTCCCGGGGGCTCATAAACAGAGTTTAATCGCGAGCGTGTCCTCGTGTTCGCAGGTCTGCGGAAAGTCTACCCTTACTACTTCACGTTCACCACCTTCACGAAAGGAAGATGGGTCGGCGAGAAGATCCTCGAGGTGTTCGCGAGGGAGTTCCGCGCGCACCCCGCGGAGGAGTACGAACGGTGCATCCGGGCCGGGACTCTGACGGTGAACTACCAGAAGGTGGACGTCGATTACAGATTGCGGCACAATGATCTGCTGGCGAACGTTGTTCACAGGTAAGAGGGAATCACGCGGACCTGCGTGTACAGTCGGCGACGGAAGTAATCGAACGCCGCCGGGAGAGATGCGTTATCGTTAACGCTAACCGCGCCGGCACTTTTCCTTATCAGTCGAATAACTGGCTGCAGGATGAAGGTGAAGACGTTAGGTGACGAATTCTTTTCAGTGGAAAGTAAAGGACAGACGATGATTTGGAAACTGATTAATCGGATAGTATAGTGTATAGAAAACGCGGAATTTAGAGTTCTTTACCGATTTTTAACCGATTTTTGATCGATTTTTGACTGGTATGGTGAGTGTCGAATAGTTTGTATACCGTATACTGTTATTTATTGAAAATCATTCGTGGTGTACGAATGCAATAGAATTAAAGAAATATTGAGCAGTGTGCAGACAAATTGTGGTTTATCGTGTCTAAGCACGTATATCGTTCGAATACTTTTGTCGGTGGCTGTACGTAGTGTACGTTGTCGGTCGGCTGCCAAACTGATCGTCTTTGCGCTGACTCGTGAGAAACAGGAATGTCCACCGATTACGTAGATAGTAACGATTCACGTCTAACGTCTGCTTTTTATAGTTTTATTCGGCACATTTTCCAGGTGTCGGTACGTTTGGAAAGAATTCCGACGTTTAAATAATCTATAATGATTGAATATTTCATTCATATTTTCTTTCGTAACGTTTTTCAGATGCTTTCTCGAATTTATCTGGATATTCGATCGTATTTCAATATTCACGTTGAACTACTTGTTGCGTCTGCCGAAAGCAATTAGGAATTTCGTTCGGTATTGTTACCATATGTGCATACTGGAAGCTTGTTACGTCGTAAATTGCGAAAGTGAATGAGCAAAAACGTTCTGTAGAATAATTTTACACAGAAGCGTGTAGAAAAAGAATGAAGACGAAATTGCGAACGATAGATACGAAATGGGGATAGGAGAAAAACGATCATTTTCGCAGCCATTTCACTCTGACAACCGAGAATCCGCGAGTCACCGACCAAATGGCGTTCTTGCGCTTCGTCCGCGTCCCGTGATCCCGATGTGTGTGTCTCTTCCCGTTCATTTCACCATCGGAAGCGTCGATCGAGGACTCGGCGTCCTCGTTGAAAAGAACAATCGAATTATTCACTGGCAATTAGACGCCTAATGAGCCGATCGAGATCGATCCGGGAGGGTCTAACCAAAAACTCACGATCCTCCGCTCTAGTCGAGCAGCGTCGCGTCTCCTTTGCACTCTGCTGGCCTTCGAGATCCTGGATTCACAAGTTGGTATCCGGATCGGCGAAAAGAGGACGGAAAATAGAGCACTCGGAGGAAGTACCGAATAAAAGTATATATTTCTGGTTGAATTCCCTAAATTGTGCATTTTTCGTTGTATTATTCCCTTAGGGACATAGAAGATAATTTTTCGAAGCAGTGTAATGAAATAAAGTCATCAATTTTATCTTCGAAGCTAAGATTTTGTTCTATAGTAGAGTGAAGATTTTATTTTTAGACAAATCTATAAATCCTTCCTCATAAATCGGATTCGAAAATCCTTCGCACTATTCCCTTGAAATCACAAAAGCCGTTCGTCCGAAGCAGTGCAATTAAATCAAATCATCAATTTCATCTCCGAAATTCACACTGTATTCTATATCAGAACGAAGATTTTACTTTTAGACAAATCTACAGATCCTTCTTCGTCGCGAATCACAGCGATTCGGAAATCCTTCGGTCCTCGTTCAGCGGTCCATTCATTTCGACGTTTGCTGATGGCCGAAAACATTGGAAAACGCGTTCGAAATATTCTCCTTTTTTTTCCCGCGCAAGCTTCCCTCGCCAGAGAATCGAACATCTGCGGAGGGAATTCATTGTTTATTTGTTTCCGTTCGTCGCTTTTGTTTCCCCGTTATTTGCTTTTCATCGGTGAATGAGAACCGCTGCGCGCGCTCGTGACAGCCAATATTTCCCGTTGTAATATTTATACGCCGCGAACGCGGGGATATGTAAGCCGAAAGCGGGACAGGGTTGATTTTTTGTGTCACCGCGCGCGCGCGCGCGCGAGCGCGGACTTGAAATTACCATTTGTAAACTTCGACGCTTTTTTTTTTACGCCCGTCGCGCGCTCGGCTTTCGAAAATGCTCGGCCGCCGTCGGGTTCCCGCGGGTTTGGATGGATCGTTTGTTGGTTGTTCCAGTTTCGCGGGATCGTTTCTCTGCTGTTGTAAACAATCGAGCGGAGAACTTGAAAGAAGCATTCGTGTAAGTGGTTATTTAACACTGGAACTACCGTCCCAGTCAGAATGACTGGTTTCGATTTTCTTGTTTAGCAATTATTGATACCTTCGAAGCATTGAATATTCGAAATGATTTTGAAAATAAATGGTTCCACTTGAGTGCTGCAATGAATGTCTGAAGGAACTGAGAATAATCTATTGTTACCATTTTTATAGGAATTGCATATTAATCGTATTAACCCTTTGCACTCGAGAATATTTTTCTCAATATTCATTATCTTTTGATGAAATGTCAATGATATTTTTTGCAATTAACATAAAGAAGTACCTTGCATAAATTGAGTGACAGAACTATTTTATTTTGATGTTCCATGTGTTCGTACATTATATAAAATTTAATATTGAATTTTCAATTTTACAATTTTCTTGGGTCAAATGGCGACTGAAAGGCAAAAGGTTAAATACTCGGTAGTTCTAGTGTTAAGGTAGATAACCGTCACACGAATTGAAATTCACGACAGTCGATTAGCTAGTTATTCGTTATCCATTATTCATTACTTGTGATTGGATGAAACGGAAGTTACTGATTCTCGAAATCGAACGAAGATAGAATGACGAATAACAGCAATGTTAATAGACGTACTATTTATGTCTTAATAGTTTCTCTCTTTATACAAGTAGTTTTTCCCTATCATCTTGAACGTCACTGCGAGACACATAAATTAGACATTAAACCGAAGGTTTTTGCGCATCGGTTCCATGGACAGGTTTTTAGATAATGGTATCGTAAAAGAACTTGCTTTGAGATTCGAAGCGAAACGAGAACGTCGACACTTTGTTTGATACTTTTTACCAATCCATAGTACAGAGGAGTTATTATTAGACAACGATGAAATTGAACCACGATTAGATCAATCTACGAATGCAGCAACTGTGCTGAAACATGTTCGATAGCTCGCATTTATCTTCGAAGTGCTATATTGCTTTCTACGTTCAAATATTCATCAAACTTAATTCGCAGTGTCACAACATACATCGAAACACTACGAAAATGTCCAAAATTAAGCGAAATGATCTTAGTTCTCAAATCTCCGAAAACCAACAGGAAACCTACGTTGACACAAAAATGGCATCTCGTCGCGTAGAAATCGGCAATCTTGAAATTTCGTTGAGGAACTAAAACAAAAGCATTATCCTCCATTGACAATCTCTTCTTCCAAATTGAACAACAATCGAGATGCTCGTAGATCCTCTTTAGGGCCTGATACATCGAACAGAATCGCTTCCAAGGAACCACTTTCAGGAAATATCGGATCGAAAGAGCTGGAGAGTATAAGCTCTCTAGAGTAAAACTCCCGTGCGGCTGTGTGCGCCGAGTGTTTCTAAGTACCCGCGACAATGGGCTCCCGTTATCCTCGCCTTCACGGAGGAACCGCGCGTCTCTTGCGATATCCTTGGCACGGATATCAGAGGAATCCGTGCTCGTGGAATCGTCGTCGTTCGAACGTGTCGTCTGCCGTTTGGCGAACGCGTTAGCTTGTGGTTACGCTGGTCGCCTATTCAAACGAACTGACGTTGTAATGAAGAAATATTTGAATATCGCTGTGTAATATGTGATGAATAGAAAGGAAATTATATTCTGGGAAGTAGTAGATGTAAGGTAAATAAAACTGTATTGAATGCAAATGAAATGTAGATGTGTTCATATGGTTTTGGAGATTTTTTTATAGTTCTTTGTAGTTTTCTGTAGTTCTCTGTAGTACTCTAGGGGTTTCTATAGTTCTTTGGAGTTTTACATAGGTCTCTATAGTCATCTGTAGTTTTCTATACTTTTCTATAATTTTCCATAGTTGTCTATAGTTCTCTGTAGTTTTCTATGCTTTTCTATAATTCTCTATAGTTCTCTATAGTTCTCTATAGTTCTCTATAGTTCTCTATAATTCTCTATAGTTCTCTATAGTTCTCGATAGTTCTCTATAGTTATCCATAATTCTCCACAGTTCTCTATAATTGTCCATAGTTCTCTATAGTTCTCTATAGTCATCTATAGTTCCCTATAGTTTTCTATATTTCTCTATAGTTCCCTATATTTCTCTATACCCTATATTTCTCTGTAGTTCCCTATAGTTATCTATAGTTCTCTATACTTCTCTACACTTCCTTATAGTTCTCTATACTTCTCTATACTTCTCGATAATTCTCCACAATTCTCCATAATTTCCTACAGTTCTCACTTCTCACTTGCCTATACTTTTCCATAGACTCCTATTACTCTATTCTTCCATCCAATAAAAACACACCATCAGAAACATGCATAATTGATTTCCTCGTCGTATCGAGTACCGCCAGTGGCAGCTCGTAGCAATACGCATCCAGTAGAACCGCAACTTTATCAGCTCGCAGTTATCGTTTACCGGGACAAGGCTCCCGATTTTTGCCGTCGGCTCCAAGGCCGCCCCACCATAGAAAAACGTTCTTTCTCCCGACGCGGCTTCCGGAAGACGTCCATTCTCTTCCGTGAATTTGAACCTGTTAACACGTCCGCCGCGTTTTATTATGCGAATTATGCGCATACCTTTCGCCCAGGGCTCCGCCGACAGCGTTCCCATTGTCGCAGTCGTGCATTAGCCGACAACGACAAATAACTCGCTATTTTTTATTGCTCCTTCCGCCCCCCTCCCCTCGCCCACCCCTCGTCGTTGAATGTTGAGTAATAGATGCACGGCGAAGAATTTAATGTCCCGCTCGCGGGGACTCTTTTTATTCGATCGGCTC